ATTCTGCAATGAGTTTTGTTATTTATAAACATAATTAAATTCCCAAGAGCATTTTAATATTTACGAAAGTAATTGAATCCCTGTAAAAATTTTATTATTTATGAAAATAATTGAATTATTGCGAAGAAATTTATAGAAAATTTGTAAATAATTGAATTTCTGAGATTTTTATTATTTTATTAAAATAATTAAATGTTTTTAAAATTAAATAATTAAAATTTTTGAAAATAATTGAATTTCGGAGAAGAATTTTATTATTTCTAAAAATAATTGAAATTTTGACGAGAATTTTTTTTTTAATTTTTGAACATAATTAAATTTTTGCAAAGAATTTTACTAATTTTCAAAATTATTGAATTTCTGCAATCATTTGTAAAATTCTCTAAAATTTTCCAAATTGTATCTTAGAATTTTCGAACTTTTTGTCATAAAATTTTTTTCGTCTAAAATTAGAAACAGCTGAAAATTTTATTCCGTAGGAACAGATGATTCATTTCCGTGGAGTCTTGAATATCAAATAGTACATAAAAATCGAATCTGTAAAAAGAGACGTAAAATTTTTTGCTCTTCGTGGTCATAATAGTGCATTATATAATTTTAGTTTATTTAGAAAAATCGAATTTGACCATAGTTTTTAAATTTAAAATTCAAAAAGGTTTACTCAAAGATAAGAATTCAGAACACTTCATAAGACATTTATTGAATATGCTATACAAAATTCAAGAATCATGAGCAAATAGTACAACACATTTTAGCAATATTATCACGATTGGAGACTATTTCAATTCAATGTTTAAGCAATATTGATTATATACATATACAATATTGATTATACCTAATACAATATTGCCAGAAAAATTCTAAGTAATTTTTTTTTAAATATTACTGCAAAATGTGTTGCGCCACTGTACATTTCATCTTCCAAAAATTCATAACTAACAAAATAAACTTTTTTCCAATTTGCAGTTTCCTACAGTAACGTAAAAATGTTAAAGCTATTGATTCATGTTTATCTCCATACCATACGACATTTTAACACAAATGATAAGCATTCAAAATGAACGTAGTACCAACGATAGTATTTAGTGTGGTAATCATTTTCAACTCGTCGTGTGCTTTGGGTTTATGATTCGATTATGAATCATGAATATTCTCTAAAAATTATGTTGTTCGAATTTCCAGTATTTTGAAATTCATAAGGTTAAAAATTAAAACTGAATTTTATTAATCAAAAATTCACATTGAACCGAAACCTCATAATAATTTATAGAATATCTTTTTAAAATAAAATTTCCATATGTCAGATTTTAAATATTTTTATATAACAATATTTTAATTTACTAGAAAATGTATCTGGGGAAATTTAACTAAATCAAAAAATAGTATTTATCTAATTTTGTCGCAACATAAAATTGTTCGTAACCGCAAATTTTAATTCGAATTCCGTCGGAGTCCCCAGGGAACATTTTTCAGGGAATCTTTGCAAGAGTTGGTTATAAATAATCTCTGGAAATATTTCTGGACAATAACAAACAGTTTTTTAGATTTAGAACGCTCATGCAATGAATCTGGTTTTTATTTTCTGTCGCGAAAAAACATTTGATTCCTTATATGAAGTGTTGTATAATTTTTAATGCAAAAAAAATTTTTTTCTTTTGAACAAAAAAGTTGTACTTCTTGATATTCTGACTAGAGGTAGAGAAAGAAGAAAATAATTTAATATGATTTAGAACAACAGTTGTAATATGTTGCTTTGAAAAATAATTAAAGAAAACAATTCACTAAAGGAATAATTAAAACTTTTGCAATTTGTTTAAATGTTTAGTGTCAAGTACAAAATTAGAAAAAATAATGTCTTATTGGATTCACTTTTTTGAAGTTTGAAAAACTGACTTCAAAGTATAATCAATAATACCAAAAACTGATGTCATGTTTAATGGAAAAGAATTTGCAAAGAAACAAAATTAAGTGTTTCACTTTCGTTCTAAGTTCACATGAAAGTTAAAACTGAATTCCGTCTGTTAATTTAGATTCAAATTGACGCAAAACTAAATTAGGTCTTTTATTTGCGTTTTAGATTGAAATGAAACTAGTTTCTCACTTTTTCATTCATTTAATAATATACCCCAAACTATAATGAAACTGAATCTTCCCAATGGGGCCCCTGCGGCAAATTTATTTCGTATTAGAAATAAATGGAACGTTTGATTTTAAAGAAATAAAAACTGATCATGTTTTAAAAAGAAATTTTTTATTAAACTCTTCCTAGATTTAAAAGATTTTGAGATTGTTTTTAAAGATTCTTGAAAATTAGCTTTAATACCCACTGAGCACTGGATCATAATTTGTCTTAAAGCTTTCTTTAAGATGTTCTTTGGATACCTATGTTTATTATCTCAGCACTTTAAAGAATTGTCTTAAAAATATTTTTTAGACCTACATCTTGTCTTTGAACGGAGATGAACGACTGAAAAACATTTTGAAAACGTCTTTAAAACAATTTATGTGTCTATGCGACCACTGGATCTCTGACGTATGGAAATTTTATTAAATGAAAAATTAATAACCATAGAAATTCTGATAAATACATTTTTTGTAAAAATTAAGTTTTATTAACCAAAGAAAAATAGCTTATGTGTGATTAAAATATATCATGAAGTTCTAAAGTTATCCGGCGGCATTCGGAAAATAAGAATATCTCTAAAATTTTTCAAAAATATCAATTGACATTCTTAGTATCTTTAAGAATATCTTCATTGTCAACAGTCACTGGATACTTTTCGAGATACGATCAAAGGAATAACTATCCAAATGCTACTAAGATCACAAAATAATTACTGAATTTTCGAGAATAATCATGCTTCTTATTCGATTCCCCTTTGAGTCTTCGATGTACTAACAGAACATGTTGCATACAATCTGACTTAAAACTAAAAATATAAGTAGCCAAATTTAGCCGTTACAAAAAGTTAACATAAATAATGTCAACATGTTCCTATACAAAATCTCGAAAAGAAACTTTTTAGTACTCTTCGATTACCAGATGCTGCGTTATTTAAAAATCCGATACAATCATTATCATGCATTTTTTGACATCATAACCTATTTTATTTTCAGTATCCCTGAACCTCTACCGCGTAAAAAAACAAAAAATTCAGATTTACATTATTTCCATTTCGGTAAAAACTATCAGATACATAGATTTAGCTAAATATTAAATAAAAATATAAATTTATAAACTAAAGTTCTTCCTTTAATATTTAATATTTTCAATATAAAAATCAAACTTTTGGAGAATTTATTGCTTTTTAAAATTTATACTTATTGTTTGATTAATTATATAACTTAGTTGCTTCAAAGTCGTAATACGCTTTTCCAGTTATAATAATAAAAAATAAAAAAATAAAAATTTAAATACATTTTTTCAAATTTAATCTAACTTAAAAAAATATGATTGACTCTATTAAAAATTTCATTTTTTTATCATAAATTCCTTATTTGGTTTCACTAAATTTATACAGAAATCTGTTTAAATGGAAATAGAAATTTATATTTTTATCGATACAACATAAAATTACTTTAGAATATGGGCCATTCTCTGAATAACGGATCTCCCTCTGCCCAAAATGGGTTTAAAAATAAGAAACCATTCTTTTTGAAAACTTACAGCTTGGGATATGTAGTTTCATTTACCGTATGGTTTTTTTAATTTAAAATTTTTAAAAGACAATATAGCGTTATAAATAAATATAAATAAATGCTAACAAACAAAATAAATAGATAGTTTCAAAATTTTCAAGTTTGATCAGATTTTCATGTTCCCGGGGAATTCGATGATGTTAGATTTATGAAATTTTCAATATTCAAAATGGCGGATATGATTTTCAAAACTTTGCTTCGATTTGATTCAAAATTGGTACTCGGGGGTTTTTGGGGTTCCTGATTACGAATCCGCTGTCAAATTTTCAAAATTTATAAAATTCGTAATCAGCAACCCAAAAAGTCCCCCGGAAAGCAATTCTTTAGTATATCGAAGCAACTTTTGATAATCTTTTCCGCCATTTTGAATTTTTTAAAACTGACATCGGATTCGTAATCAGTGTTCTCGAAAATCCCCGAGTAGAAATTTTGAAGCAAATCGAAGCAATTTTTGAAAATCTCATCCGTCATATTGGATCCGCCATTTTGAATTAAATTTTTTTTTAAATGTCATCTGATTCGTAATCAGGTACTCCAAAAACCCCCTAATAACAATTTTGAAGCAAATTCAAGCAATTTTTAAAAATCTGGCCCGCCATATTGAATCTGCCATTTTAAATTTTCAAAAACTAATAACGGATTTGTAACCAGTGACCAAAAAAACTCCAGAGTAACAATTTTGAAACAATTTTAATGAAATTTAAAAATATTTTGATAATTTGTTGAAAAATTCGGCCATATTAAATCCGCTATTTTGAATTTTTTGAATTTTTTAAATCTGACTCTAAAATCTTAATCAAGAAACCAAAAAATATAGGAAAACGAAGTGTTGTTAAAAGTTATTCACTAAATGCTAATGAAATAAATAGTTTGCTACATAACTTTTTTTTAAAAAAACGGTCAATGTTCATCCAATGGTTTGAAATAAATATTACTACTTTTTGTAATTTATTATTTTTTTCATATTTCCAATATGGCGGGAAAAATTTTTAAATTTGATTAGATTCTTTTTAAACTTATTTGGAGGTTCGTGGGATTGATGATTACGAACCTGAAATCATTTTTAAGAAATTGTAAATTCATACTGTTACATTATGTAAATAATTTATTATTATTACTAGTTTTAAGCGAATCTAATCAAATTTGAAAATTTTTTCCGCCATATTGGATCCTCCATTTTGAATTTTAAAAAATTGACTTTAGATTCGTAATCAGCGACCGCAAAAACACCCGAGTAACAAGTTTTAACCGAATCTGATAAAATTTGAAAATTTGTCCGCCATATTGGATACGCCATTTTGAATTTCTAAAAATAGACTTCAGATTCGTAATCAGTGACCCCAAAAACCCTCTAGCAACAAATTTAAAGCAAATTTGATCAAATTTTTAATTAAAAAAGCCATACGGCCAAAGTAACTACGTATCCCAAGCTGTAATTTTTCCAGAAGAATGGTCTATTTTTAAAGCCATTTTAGGTAGAGGGGGTGGTCTGTATTACAGAAAATTCCCCATATATTAAAGATTGTATGTTTTCTCCATGTAATAAACATAAATATTTTAATACAACTAATAATAATACAAATTTTGTCCTCAATGAAGTATTGACTAATTTTTTTATTACTTGTCTATTATTATTAACGTTTTTTTCTAAGCAATTAAGTATTAACAATTTTTCTAATGCTTGTGTAGTTTTATTAAACTAGTGGATTTAATCATTAAATATAAATACGAAGCAATGAAAATTAAGGAAACTAAAAATTGATATAAAATATTGGGAATTTATAATAATTGTATGATATTAGTTGAGGTGTACAAGTTCTCTTGAAGGTTTATTATTAAATAATTTGACTCATACGGCCCCCAAGTACTTACGGGAATTTGTTTTAGATTGTATATTTTAAAGGGCAAAATTTGTTAATAAAAATTTTAATTACTTGAATTTACGAACATAAATAAAAATATATGTTTGAAATTCTTTAACGATTTTGAATGTTAAAAACTACTCTTATATTGCAACGTTCTGTGTTGAAAATTAACTTCTTTGGTAATATCCTATAATGTATTATGTAAGATCACAAACTCACCTAAAGATGAGATCTTATACGTATTGATTTAAAGTTTTTTTTTAATGATACCTTAGGGAAGGAAAATTATTCGTCAACTAAAACTTGCTATGTCACTTGCCATGAATGGGAACACTTCTTCTTTTGACTTCAACTTGATCGACGATTGCATCGCTTTCTTTATCTTGATGTGCGGTCATGTGTCGCGTGAGATGATGTCTCTCCCTAAAGCTTTCGTCACAAACCGGACATCGAAGTTTCTCCTCTCTTCGTCTTCTCGACGATTCACCTGCTGTTTCATTCTTATGATGGGATCGCATGTGATAAACCAAATCCGACGTCATTCGAAATGAAAGATTACATTTGGCGCACACATTTTGCGCTGGAAGTGTGAGAGCTGCTAATGATGCTGGTAAAAGTCCCGTAACACTGTTGGTGGTTGTCAGGAATCTGGGTCTCGATAGGGTGTCACTTATTTGAGGAAATACTGAAATTGGATTATATGGTAGACTGGGATACATTTGATTATGAATCTTTGGTGTTTGGGAAATCTTGAGATTATCCAGAAGATTTGACTTTTGTGTTTCGGGTCCCATTAAGAATGGATATGTTATTTTTGTAGGCAATGAACAGCATTTGAAGTTTGAACTTCCCGATAGGGGGATAACAGGTGGACTAATACTGCTTTGATAGCTTGCTCCATCTGGTGAAATTGATGATCTAGGAGATGTTTGTTCATCATCAAAAGCACTTCTTGAAGTCAAGGATACTTTAGTAAATGCGCTTTTCGATTCACCAATTCCTTCGGAACATGATGTTGAACGAGTTAAACCAATTGGTTCAATGATATCCACATAACGTCCCAAGAGATTTTGCGAATCTTGAGATAGATTTGGTGAAGTATGACATTTTTGAGATCGATTATGAATATAATGTTCTGCACTTTGTTCAGATGAAATTCTACTTAATATTGGAGTTACTGTTTTCGATGAAATGTAAGAACAACTAAAACAATCTTCCGGGTATTGATACAATCTTTTTTTATGATTTTCAGATTGTTTTTTAGTTTGTTTTTGAGATGATTTCTCCTGTCCTTCACTATCATGTCGAGTAGTTATTTTGGAATTGCGAAAATAATCATTAGTCATATCTGTTAATTTGTTAACACAAACTACGCTCAATTTTTCGCTTTGTCGTCTTGAAAGATTCTCATCGGGTGCTACCAGAAAAGCGACATCAAAAGATCGTTTATTTACTTTTTGGATAGAATTCGAAGTGTCTACGGGTGCATCATCAGAGAATGAATTTGATGATAGGATTGTAGTTGTTGATATAACAGGTGATTCACGTTCAAGGCCACAGGAACGTTCTTCCATTGTCATTGTGTTAACGTGGAATATCAAGTCTGTGAACATGGGAACGAACATTATCAGCTTTTTTATGAATGTTTAAATGTAAAAGGTGGTTTAATTATTCAAAAAGCAAAAAGAATCGTTTTCATTCTTGAAATATATTTTTTAAGATAACATTTTAACTTTTTGGAATTTCTAAATGCTGTTATAGTTGTTATATAATAATATTCTGTCTTTGAAACAAACGCTACTCCTACACAGTTACTATATTGATGGAGAGAGATCGACGATAAACGACGTCACTAATTTAGTGGGGAGGAGTTCATGCTTATAACTTCGTTTCTAGGGTCGCGTCGGGAGATTTGTTAAACTAATATTACACATGTGAAGTAAACGACGCTAGAAGTGTTAACTTTCTGAAAAAAATATGTAAAATTTCTACGTCATAAAGGAATTGAAATATGCAACGAAAGTTTAAATACAATTTTTTTAATTTTTCCAAATAAACTTTAAAATAATAAAAAATTTTAAAAACTGTTTTCTAATTCTGTACTCTGAAAAATCTACTTAAAAAAATTACTACTGCTTTGAAAAATTGGAATCAATTGTACAATAATTTAAAAATACTCTATTATTTTCATAATTTTATTACTTTAGAAAATCTCTGAGAACCTATTGAAATAATAAAATTAATATATAAGCTGAAAGTACATCCAGTTATCAGCACCCACTTCATTTTGAAAATTAAATTTTATAGTAAATTTTGTTTTCGTTGAAAACCAAAATAAAGTTTTGACTTTATGCTGCTGATAACTAGGTGCAAGTAGCAGCTTCATAAAAAATATTTAACTTTGAAATTTAATTTTCAAATTTATGTGGGTGCTGATAACTATAGATGCCAGATTCAGTTTCATAAAATTAAATAAATTTTAGCGTACTTTGCTTTATATAAACAATAAAATAGAGTTAATTAATTTAAAAAATTAAAAGCGATTCTCTAAGTAAAAATGTTATTTCCTATGGGCATATCATTTTTGGAACAGAACGAAACAATTCCAAACGATGGTGAATATTATCATTTACTTATTGCATAATTCACTGAAAGATAAAAAAAGGAGCACATCTATAGATTGAAATTCAATGAATTAGAAACGTACTTGATCATTTAAAAAAAGTTATTATCATAAATATTTAAATTACAAATAAATTATTTAAAACTATCAACAATTCGCGCGCGGCTAACTTCTTACTTCCTTTTTTTAAATAAAATTAGCAATTTCAAAAATAATAGAATTTAAAAATTTCTAATTGAAATATTTTTTTTATAAAAATAAAATATGAATTGGAATGTAGTATTAATACTATTATATCTATAATAATCATATATTCTGAGATAAGAAATTCAGGGAAAAGTCAGAGATTTTAATCAAAGTACTGGAAAAAATTAATTTTTAGAATTCATAAGAAAATTCTGAATTTTTGTGTCTTTTTTGTTTGCCTCATAAACTATGAAATTTCCACGAATTCTAATACAAAATTCTTTAAAAATTTTCTATTTCTGACAATAATAATTTCTTTTCCCAATAACTTAATTTTTGAAGGACTATCATAAAATTATTAATTAGAAATTATTTAATGAATAATTTTACTTAAATATTTCAAAATTAATTGAATTTTAAAAAAGTTGCAATTAAAATTTTCATAAAGAAATCAACTTCAAAAGGTTTTAATTTGAAATTTTATGAAAATTTAATTTTTAATGAATTTAAGTGAAAATTTGAAAAAACTTAGATTTTTGAAAAATTTTAATACAATTCAAATTCTTCTGAAATTAGTTACATTTTTTAATATATATTTAATTAATTATTAAAAATAATGGATTTATAGAAGAATTTTAGTTCAAAACACTAAAAAAATTGAATTTTGGAGAAGTTACAAATGATTGCAGAAATTCAATTTCTCTGAAATTCAAATATTTTTAAAAATTTTAATGACATTCTTGGCAAAATTTCAAATATTTACCTCGATTCAATGATTTTTAATATCTACTATTTTAACAAAATTTTCCAAAAGAATTCACTTATTTAAAAAAAATTTTGATAATATTTTTAAAAATTTCTTCGCAATAATTCATTTATTTTCATAAATAATAAAAGTTTTTACAGGGATTCAATTATTTTAATAGGTAAATAATAAAATTCTTTTCAGGAATTCAATTATTTTCATATATAATAAAATTCATCTCAGAATTCAAATTATTTTTAATACAATTAATCAAATTCCTCGAAACATAATGTAATTACTTTTCGAGATTTTATTAAAATCCGTCAAAAGAATTTAATTATTTAAGAATTTGTTGATAAAATTTTTTATGAGAATTAAATTTTAAGAAGTATTAAATTATTCAATAAATTATTTATTTTTGTATTTAAATAATTGAATTCTCGTAGAATTTTCTAATAAAAATTGATTTAAAAATAAATTTTATTTAAAATTTTTGATTATCATTGAATATTAAAAGAATTATAGCGAAAATTTTTAGAAATAATTGAATTTTGAAAAGGTATTAAATTAAAATCGGTTAAAATTTGAATTTTTCATATTTTTAACTAACTATTCTGTAGAATTAATATTTTTGAAAAAGTTTAATTGAATTTTTTTGCGTATTTAAAGTTTTGATTTTCTAATATATATTTAATTGAAAAATTTTTAAATATTTGAAAAAGATTTGGATTTGAAATTTTTGAAAATCTTACTTCCTAAGAAAAAAATAATAATAATGAAATACTTATTTAGAAAAAGAAGTTATTGATGTTTTTGAATAATTTTACAATTAAAGAAATTCGTAAATAAATGTATCAGAACATTTTTTAAGTAAATATTTTTTTCCTGTATTTTCTAAAAATAAAAAAATTTTCCTATTTCTTAATCATAATTTTTTAACAATTACCAACTTTCTAATATTTTTTATAAATAAAAAGAAGAAAAATGTGCATAATTTAGATCAGTGAAACAAAATTTGTTACAGAAAAAAGTATATAATAAACAAAATGGATGTACTTTTTATTTGTTAATCATATTTTTTTATTTATTTTTTCAAATATTATTTTATTATAATTCATGAAAAAATACCTGCATATTTTCGATTTGTCAAACAATATTTTTTAAAGAAAAAAAAAAGCATACACAAAAACTAACTTCAAACTGCGGACAGAATGATTGAATGAATGAATACAGAATTATCAGACTATTTTAGTTAATATTTAAGTAATTAGTATTATTTATAATAATTAACTGTAAACAGTAATATATAATTTTAAAAATGTAGATTTTTTAAATAAAAATGTTTCATATATTTCTCATTTATAGAGAAAAATTTCATGAGCAAATATAAATCAATATTTCTGTGAACTTAAATTTGACGAATTTATTGTCATTACGATGTCACGCTACGTACGCTATACGAGATTAGCATGAAGAGTTCAGCAATATCGAAGTGCTCAGTTTTGGCATTGACACACGTGACTTGACCTTGTCTGTACGGTGAGATATGCTATACCATTTTGTGTTTGACTTTCATAATTCAAAAATAATTTGTTTCCTTTTTGTTTGTAAAATTACAATACGGTTTTTCAAGCATAAGAAGTGAAATTGAACCTAAAACTTTTTAAATTGGATAAAATATTTATTTCCGCGTAGAATACATATAATTTTAGTCCTGCTTTAATCTACATCATATATTAATTTTTGACATTACACTTTTTCAAAGAAAAACATAAAAAAAAGTTTTGGTAATTTCTAAAGCTAAATTTTACCAAATTCGTAGTATTATATTTTCTTAATTTTTACTAAAATTTGATTTAGAAAAATAAATATTTCGAAAATAGTAAAAAGTGATATAGAAAGACATTGAAATTCATAACAGTTCAAATTTCATTATGAAAATAGTAAATATTATTTTATTCATTTTTCCGTGCATCCGTGCTTCAAGATATTCACGGATGTATTTGGAACATCCTGCGAATGTTATAATTTACGAATATCCTTATAGGAAGTCTGTAGGATATCCTAAATATCCGGATGCTGCCAGTAAACATTTTTTTCATATCCCATTGATAAAAATATTATACTTTATAAAAGGATTTAAAATTATCCGCTTTCGAAAAGACGCACCGAGTGTGAATCATGAAATTGTGAACAGATCATATTAGATATCCAACAAAGAGAATGAAATCAATTTAAAAATTTGAATCAGATTTTAATTTAACTTAATTTTGATCCAAACTCTTCCCGTTGCAACACTTGATTGCAAAGAATAAATCCCTCCCAATTAAATGTAACTATGCAACAATGACTTACAACCCCTTAAAAAATTAAAATTTTATTTATATTTAATTATATATTTTTATTTAATTTAATTAATTCAGAAAAATTTTGATATTTATCACATGAATATTAATTAAAATAATAACAAAAATAGATATTATGACAATGATTGAAGGATATTGTATTCTCTAACATTAATAGATATTTCAGGACATCCTACTAACGTCCTAGTCATATTTGGAAATTAGAATTTCCCTAGGATGTCCTCAAGTTAACCACGGACGTCGCTGGGAAATCTTACGGATATCCTAATTTCCGGATATCTTTGTCCCTGGGACATCTAACGAATATTCTAATTTCCAAATATCTTTAGGACACCTATCGGATTTCCTAAATATCCTATTACTGTTAGGATCTGAATTTTTCATAATTAAAATTAAAAGCAATATTAAAAACAAAGATAAAAAATAACTTGAAAATACGTAAAGTTATAATTCTAAACTACTTACCCACCCCTTTGTGGTAACCATTTTTAGAACTTTTCCCCTTTCCCCCTAACCGTGCAACGATCTTAATGAATTTCCCCTAGGACGTTCATAGGATATCCTGAAACATCCGTTCCTGTCATGGTAGTGATAATTTTTTCCATCATATTTCCAATTTTAGATATACGGCATCAAAATATTTTCCTAGAATTATCCGGGTGTTGAAGGTATTCTATGAACGTCTCAAGAATATCAATCGATTTCCGAAAGGAAGGATTTTGGTAGAATAAGCATTTCCGGATGCTTCTCGATATTTATCTATCGATATCCTCAAACCAAATGTCCTGAAATATTTCGGTCTGTATCATATTTGATGCAAAAGTTTTTGTGATAATTCTCTCACAGCATCATCCGAATATTAAGGATGTCCTACGGATAACCATTGAAATAAAAAATAATTATTTTACATTGTTTCTCTGTGAGAAAAGCAACCTAATATTATGGGTTTTAAAAAATAATTTGAATTTAAAAAAAAACTATTCTAAAACTATTAAAGCATGTAAAAAAATGATGTATAATGTATTTATGAAGTGAAAATTTTATTTTTATGCATTTATGCAAAATTTTATCATTGAAATCTTCTTAGTTATTTTTTAGTTTGATTATATTTCTTGTACAAAAGTTGATAAAATATCTTCAGTTGTACAATAATTGTCAAGCAATCTTCACAAAAACATTGTTTCAAACTGATACTGACCCAAATATTCTAGGCTGTAAGGGTTTATGCAAGGCTTTATAAAAATTTTCAAAGCAGTGTCATAATTTATAAAATCACATATATAAACAATAACCATTTATGGTAAAAGGGGAAAACTTCACCTCAAAAATTTAGAAACAGTTTGTTTCCTTATGTTGGAACAGATATCGCGTTTAATAGAACCAAACACATTTAAGCACTATCACTGTAGAACTGACATATATGTTATATATAAGAAGCGATAGACCAACAACGGTCCATGCTGAAATGAAGCTGTTTTCGCGCATCGTACTATTTAGGGGTTATTCCAGCTAAGTCATAAGAGACAAGTGGAGGCGTCCAAGGGTAGCTTGGGCCAATCGTAGGTTGTTCAATTTTGTTTAAGGGTGGAGCATTCTTGGAGGGATGAACATATTCAGTCGTCGAGATGCGTCTGCTATTCAGCACAAGCCACGCCTACAAATTTCTGGTTCGACACATGTGTCTCGACTTTTTCTGCGCATGACGAATTCATTTACTATATTTCTACAACATACATACATATTTCAACCTGACAAACGATATTGAATACATTTTTAACACTGCTTGCATTGCACTTTTTCGATTATCGAACCTTGAGTAGACTTGATGTTGTAATGGCCGTCGATGCTGAACTGCATTTTGAGTGTCAATCTCCGGAATTGTGCTTGGGAAAAAAAAATTACATTATATACATGAAAGTATAAATATGCTTTTTTTGTGAAAAATTTTATGAATTTGCTTTTCTTCTTTTTTAGATCCTATAATTGTTGAAATAAACCATCACTTCGTGTCAAAATATGAATAACAAGATGGGGGATTATTTAATAAATATACATATGTCTAATAGGAGTTTTGAATGTTAAGAAATATATAGAAATCTTTCAAATAAGTTTTTTCGGATTTATATACAAGATGTGTAAAGAAACCAGTGATCTAATCGTTTAGTAAGAAATCTGCAGGTTTAAAAATTTTTTAATTTTCGAAGGATATTGAATTCACATAAAATTTAAATTGATAGAGCTACTAAGTTATATATCTCATCCTAAGTATCAACGTGAAAATTTGGAAATTAGTAAAAAAACAACTTTACTTAATATAACAGTTATCCTACAGACTTGTTAGACAAAAAAATTTTATAAAGAGATACAATAATTTGTCTCTTATGTGAGAAACAACCGAATCTATTCATAATTCAATGTAAAGACTCTGAAGGATCCCACATAGCACAAGATCTACCTGGAAGCTTCCAGTGAAATCTTCTCAATCTTCACTTGAAAGTTTCAGGAATACTCCCTTGAAACTCAAAATGTCCTTCTAATGGTCGATTCTGTAATTTTTCTACTTCCCATTTTCAGCTTTTCCTTATCCACTTCCCATTTCCCACATTTCATATCCCATTTTCCACCTCCCTCTTTTCATTACCCACTTCACACTTTTCATCATCCATTTCGCACTTTTCATTTACAACTTCTCATTTCCCACTTTTCATTATCATCCCACTTCCCACTTCCGTCAGATATGACAAGTGAGAAATATATAATAAAAAGTGTGAAGTTGGATATAAATAAATGAAAGAAATAAAAATTTGGAAATGGAAAGAGGATAATGGAATGCGGTAAATGGAAGTGGAAATGGGAAGAGAAAAAAGGGAAGTGGATAATCAAAAGTGAAAACTGGGAAATGGGAAGTGGGTAATAAAAAGTGGATACTAGGAAATAGGAAGTGGATAATGAAATATGGTAAATGGAAAGTCGAAAGTGGAAATATAAAGTAAAAAAAGGAAAGTATGGATAATGAAAAGTGGGAAATGGAAAGTGAAAAGTGAAAAAAGGGAAGTGGATAATGAAAAGTGGGAAAAACGAAGAGGATAATAAAAAGTGGAAAGTAGGAAATGGGAAGTGAAAAAATTGAAGTGGATAATAAAAAGTGGATACTAGGCAATATGAAGTGGATAATGAAATATGAGAAATGAAAATAAGGAAAGTGTATAATGAAAAGTGGAAAATGGGAAGTGGAAAATAGGAAATGGGAAGTGGATAATGAAAAGTGGGAAATGGGAAGTGAAAAGTGGAAACTGGATAATGAAAAGTGGATACTAGGCAATACGAAGTATGGATAATGAAATATGGGAAATGGCATGTGGAAATAGGAAGTGAAAGAAAGGAAAGTTGATAATGAAATATGTATATGAAATGGGAAGTGGAAATAGTAAGTAGAAAAAGGAAAGTGGATAATGAAAAGTGTAAAGTGGGAAGTGAAAACTAGGAAATGGGAAGTGAAAAAGGGAAGTGTAAAATGAAAAGTGGGAAATGGAAAGTTAAAAAGTAAAAATGGGAAGTGGATAATAAAAGTGGAAACTGGGAGATGGGAAGTGAAAAAAGGGATGTGGATAATGAAAAGTGGAAACTAGGCAATAAGAAGTGGATAATGAAATATGGGAAATGGGAAGTGAAGAAAAGTAAAGTAGATAATGAAAAGTGGAAAATAGGAAGTGGATAATGAAATATAGGAAATGGGAAGTCGAAATAGTAAGCAGAAAAAGGAAAATGGATAAAGAAAAATGGAAAATGGAAAGTGAAAACTAGAAAATGGGAAGTAGATAATGAACAGTGGGAAATAGAAAGTGGAAAAAAGGAAGAAGATAATAAAAAGTGGAAACTGGGAATTAGGAAGTGAAAAAATGGAAGTGGATAATGAAAAGTTGAAACTAGGCAATAGGAAGTGGATAATGAAATATGAGAAATCAAATGGGAAGTGGATATGGGAAATGAAAATAAGGAAAGTGTATAATGAAAAGTGGAAAATGGGAAGTGGAAACTAGGAAATGGGAAGTGGATAATAAATTTTGGGAAATAGGAAGTAAAAAAATTGAAATGGATAATGAAAAGTAGAAACTGGAAAATTGGAAGTGGATAATGAAATGTGGGGAATAGGAAGTGAAAAAAGGAAAGTGCATAGTAAAAAGTTGATAATAGGAAATTAAAAAAAGGATGTAAATAATGGAAAGTGGGAATGGGAAGTGGCAAGTAGGAAACGGAAAGTGGGAAATGAGCACTGAAATGTGGGATGTGGGTAATAAAAAGTGGAAAACGGGATGTTACAAGAGGGAAATGGAAAGCGGTTAATAAGAAGTGGGAAGTGAAAAGTGAGAGATGAGTAATAAAATGTGGGAAATGGGAAGTGACAAGTGGGTAATGAAAGTGAAAAGTGGGAGGTGGGTAATGGGAAATCGAAAGTGGTTAATGGTAAGTAAAATGTGGGTAATGGAAAAGTGACAGAATCGACCCTCTGAAAGGAAGCTTTCATTGGAACCTTAAGGAAGTCTTTAGCGGAAACTAAAGGGAAAGCTTCCCTGAAGCTCCCGTAGAATGTTCACTTTCTAAATATTATGGAGTAAAGCAAATCTGTTCTTTATTCCATAAAAATAAACAGAATTTATAAAAACACTTGAAAAAATCTTTAAATTTTCAAAAATATACCTTTTATTGGTAGCTTGAGGGAAGCTTCCCTTTAGTTTCCGGTAATTATATTGATACTTCGAAAACAAATTTACCATTTACTATATAATTTCAAACACTCCTTTAACTAAAAAATAATAACATTATGCGTGTGACAATAAACAGCAATTTGTCAGTAAAATAGATTTTATCTCATTTTTTTATTTAACAACGATGAAAATCAAAACATTAAAACAAGAAACTTATAGAAATTTTGACAAAATATTATTGTTATAAAATAGTCAACATTGCTTTTTTGTGATTCCTCTGACACGAATTTGAAAATGAATGTGAAATTTCGATTATACAAAAAGTATCCTGTAAAAATGATGTTTTTTGTATAATTTATTGAACGAGTTAATTTGAATTCCTCGCTGAAATCATATTAAAATTGAAATTAAAATATACCGCTCGACGGATTTTGAATTTTTTCTTTTAAAAATGTTCAGTGAGATATATGTCGAACAAGCTGCAATAAGAATTTTTGAAGGGAAGCAAATTGAGGGTTGATATTGGTCCCAGGGTACCGTTTTATTAATAAACGTATTCCTCTCATAAAATCAAACTCACAAAACAACACTAAAAAAATACTTTATTTAAAATGCTACCAAAATTTTTTTTAACATATACATTACAAACCTTTTTGAAAAAAAATCTCCTTTTCTTATGAACCACAATATTTTATCCATTCCAAACAAAAATAATAATTATTATTTTTATAATGTTTAAATTACGGTTCCATTATAATGTAACCTTAATTTAATTAAAATTGTTGAAAAATGAAATTAGTAACATATAATCTAAAACATGGCTGTTTTTCAGGTTTTCACACTGAGAGAAATGGACCCAAGTTAATACAACCAGAAAAAAGTGGTTAATGAAATGCAGTTACTGGACCAACTTAAAATTGTCTTTGTAACATGTTTTCTGGTTACAGTAACCAGAAATTTAGTTATGTTAACTAAAATTGCCAAAAAAAACAATCCTAGTTGTGACAACCATGATCTGTGGTGAAATTTGTCTTCAACTACGAACACATGTTATAGCACAACTTTAGTGAAAAGTTGTAGGAAAATGAAACCTGGTTGTAGTAACCAGTCAATTTGTTAGATTTCAGTAGTCGGGAGCAAGCGCAGTACGTCTTTATACTGTCTGCTATAGTTTGACTTTTAACACAACGTAGAATGCACTCATCAAGTTTTTATTTTAAAGTATTTTATGGTTTTCCATCTTTCTTCTTATTAACAAAAGTGTGTAAAGTAAAAGTGAATATGATGCTGTTGATGTAAATCTTTTTACTTATTTTAGTGACAGTATTGTTGACAATTAATTAGATAAATCCAATTAATGATTTCATATAACCTATATGTTTTTAACGATTTTTAAAATTATTTTTATGAAAACAAAGGATGGACTACATTATTTATAAGTATTGTGAAAATAAATTCTAAAATAAGAAGATGAAAAAATATATAATTTTAACCTCTTAATCATAGATAACATATTGTTTCCTGTTATAGCTTTACATTCCCATCCACAATTTCAGTGTCAACCATGATCCTGGTTACTATAACCAGGAATTAAATTTATATTAACCATGTTTTATCGTCAAGACAACTATGTTCAGTCATGTTCGAACAACTTGAATCGTAGTCAAAGACGTTTTTCACCACGAAAATTTGGTTGTATGAACCAGGAATTTCTCTCAGTGCATATTTGATAATTACGAATCTAATAT